GGGGAGATTATGCTGCCCAGGTCCTGCCTCATCGTTACCTCTCTTGGCCCCACCTCCCTCAGTTCTTAGAATTTACTGCCAGAAAGGAAGGTCTTCCAGGCCATGTGAGGCAATCAATGAAAGCACAGAATCTGTTTGCTGTGTCCTAGGTTCCTCTGGAGGTGACAGGGAACCCGGCCAAATGGTCTCGCAGGCAAAGCTGACTGTCTACAGGTTTTGCTGGAAAACGCATCAGAACAGATTCTGGTCACAGTGGCAAGAGAACAAGGAAAAATAAACGTGAAATGAAATGGTCATAATAACCAGTGTCCTTTACTGAGCACCTCCTCTCTGCAATCCTAGGTGCCTTCTCTCAATTCACCTTCCTAACAACGCTAGGTGGCACTGCTACAGTTCTCCCCATTTTACAGATGAAGACACTGAGGGTCCGAGTGTTCTCACAGCCGAGAAGCAACAGGATCAGGACTCAAATGCTGACCCATCTGAATCCCAAACCTACATATTTAAGAGCTTTGCCGAACTGACTTCACGCAAGAAGGGCCAATCAGAGATACATGGGGTGTGAGAGAGAGCAGGGACACGGGGCAGAGGTGGAGAGGAAGGAAAGCTCTCAGGAAAATCCCATGTCACAAAACATGATGCAATGATACTGCCCCAGGAGACACGAAGGACAGTGTCCAAGGAGTCGGGGCCATTAGGGTAATTCCCGTATGTCTTCCTCAACTTTTCAAGCCACATTTTTCACTTCTAACCAACTCTGCGTTCTCCCTTCATTTGCTCATACCACATCGCGAGGTCATTGATGTGTCCTCCTTATAAGTTGGACAGGACAGGACAGGACAGGACAGGACAGAGACTTACTGTCTCTGTGTCTCCAGGGCCCCAGCACTGCCTACCGCCCAAGAGGGGCTCAGTGAGGTTTCTGCTGAAAGAACCAATGGCTGGGTTGAGGACCAGGGTGGTATCCCCACGTGCCAGTCCAGGGCTGTGTCAGGGACATTTGAACCTAAGCTAATGCTACCAGAGGGCTCCTGTGAAAGCCTACGTTGGACCGTGTCATTCTGCTCAGAGCCCTCCAAGGCTCCCTCCCTCTTCTCAGAAAATAGCCAAAGTCCTTACAGTGACCGTCAAGGCCCTGCAAGATCTGCCTCCTCTCACTCTGCTCCTCTGGCCACACCAGCCTCCCCCTGGCATCCAGCACTTCGCATCCCCTTTTTCCCTGCTTGTGTTTCTCTGTGGTACTTGTCACTGTAGGAAATAAGGATATATTTTACATATTTATTGGTCTCCCCTGCCAGAAGGTCAGCCCCAAAGGAACAGGAATTGCTTGTTTAGCTGTCTCTCTGATGCTGAGGGCAGTTTGTGGCATATAATAGGCCCTCAATAAGTGCTTGTTGAAAAAGTGGATGATTGATTGAATGAATGAACGAACGAACGAACGAACTCTGGAGATATAGGAAATCCAGAGAGAAAGGATCTTGGCTCTTGAGCATCTGGCGAGGTCCAGGGCCTAGAAGTGGCCATGGACAGGAACAGACCAAATCCTGGCTGCCAAATTAGGACCCTGGAGCCAGAGCTGGAGTTGGTCACCACACCCTGTGCATCAGAGGCTGGGTGGTACAGTGGTTAGGAATGCAGGCTGGAACCAGAGTGCGGGTTCTATCCCAGCTTCTCCTCTTCACCGCTGTGTGACCTTGTGCAGCTCGCTTAACCTCTCTGAGCCTCCTCATCTATAAATGAGGGTAATAGTAATACCCACCTCATATGCCTACCGACCTGACAGCCAGTGTTAGCTATTATGAGTCTCCACAGAACAACCCAGAGCGAGTTTTTAAAACACAGCTCAGGTCATGTCCCACCCGAGTTTAAAATCCTTCTCCAGCTTCTCATGTTATTTGGAATAATAATAATCCAAACTTCTCACTATGGCTACAAAGTTCCACATAATCTAGCCCTTGCCTACCTCTCTGACCTCCCTTTTACTGCTCTCCCCTTGCCCAGTGTGCTCCAGCCACACTGGCCTGGACAACTCCAGCTCACTCCTCCCTCAGGGCCTTGGCACTTGCTGTTTCTTCCTCCTTGAAGCTCTTCTCTCAGATCAGTGATAGCTCAGCTCCAATGCCTCCTACGCCAGGAGGCCCTCCTTCCTGCTTACCTAAAAACCTGCCCCCCTCATCACTATCACACCACCTCATTTTATGGGTTCCACTGAGCCCCCTACCTGTAAACCTATGTCTGCCACACAGTAGATGAATGGATGGGAGAGTGACCCTTTGAGGCTTCTGAATCCTGAGAAAAATATTAAAACCTTGGTCTCCCATAGCAACAAGGAAATTCCTTACTCCCACACACAGTCCTGCATTCTAATCTCCTCCGTCTCCCCTCTGTTGAATCATCTCCAGAGCAGAGGTTTTGTCTATATGCTCAGGGCAGCATCCTCAGGCCTGACGAACAGAGGTGTTCGGTGAATTAATTAAAGAATTTGCTCCTTGTGGAGCCTCTATTTCTTTTTTCAAAACAGAACAGAACAATTTCATTTGCCTGGAATTGTAAGGCTTGAGCGGGTCAAGGGAGGCCTGGCCCCGAGTAAGCGCTCAGCATTAGGTAAGGCGCACTCTCAAGTCACTTTTCCAGGGCAGAAAGGAGCATGAAAGGAAGTGCGCCCAGGTCCCTTCCCAGGCCCCAGCCAGGGCCTGGAGTGCGGGACTCGCCACCGAGTGGGCGGTCCCTGGTAGGGGTGCCAGCCAGGGCGGAGGGCGCGCGTACAGATGCGGTCGCGGGGACTCTGCGGTGGGCAGCGCCTGATCGCGACTTACCCATGGCGAGCGGGACACCCGAGCGTGCTGCGGGCGCGGAGCGGCCGGGCGAGCATCCCTGGGCCGGAGTCCCGGAGTCCCGCCAGGCCCACAAACTTTCTGGCCGGCCCGCCTCCGTCCCTCCCTCTCTGCCTGCCCGCCCCCAACGCCGCTGCCACGTAGGCCAGCCCTGGCCCCCTGGGTCCGGAGGCGTGACAGAGGGGCGCCTGCGCCTGGCTGGGGGACACTGCTCGCAGTTCTCCAGGGGCCTCTCACCATCCCCCCCAGGGTGCTCCCCACTGTCATCCCCGTTGGGGCCCCTACATGCATTCCCCTCCCCCTCCAGCCCCCGTAGGAAGAAGACTTTGAAATCACTGCAGTCCACACTAGTCTGGCCACCAGCATGTACACACACACACACACACACACACGCACACGCACACGCCTCTACACTGATGGGGTCACACACATACCCACTTCAGCCACTCAGACACTCTCCCATGGACTCATCCTCCAGTCATTGGACACAGGTTTGGACACCTCCCAAGTACCACAGGCACTGTGCTAGGCCTTGGGAGAACGAGAGGGACAGATTTGTTTGTTCTTGTGCAATTTGCTTTCCAGTGGGGGAGGAAGAACGGTAAATAACAAGCCAGAGAAATGCCAGCTGGTGATCATGGCTGGGTAGAGAATGAAACTAGGGTGATGGGGCGGGCAGGCACAGGCGGCTGCTTTAGCTCGGGGGTCTGGGAAGGCTGTTCTGAAGAGGGGTTATGTGAGCTGAGACCGCAGGTTCCAGGCAGGGCAGAAACAGCTTGTGGAGTATAAGGAACAACAAAAATGAAGCCAGAGTGTCTGGAGCATGGCACGTGACGGAGAGAGTGGAGGGAGATGGGGCCCAAGACTGGGGTTGTTAAGGGCCAGATCATTCGAGGCCGGGGTCGGAAATGTGGATTTTATTCCAAGTGACACACACACACACACACACACACACACACACACACAAATAATTGGGGCATTCTAGTAGGTTATAGGGAGCGAGGGTGGAAACAGGGGAGCTTCTGCAGGTGAGAGGTGGAGTTGATTTGGACTAAGGTGATAGGAGTGGGGATGGAGGAAAGTGGGCAGATGGGAGATAGACTTGATAAGGACCTACTGATGGAAAAGGTGCAGCTTAGGGCAGGAAAGAACGTCCACAGTTCTGTTTCGGCTGTGTGACATTTAAGGTGCTCACTCAGCATCCCTGTGTAAATAGGTAGGGTGTTCGATGTAAGAGTTTGGAGTTCTGGAAAGGAGGCAGGCTGGGGATACCCCCATTAATTCTCACTCTCCGGCAAAAACATATATGGTCACAGGCTTTTCTCATCCTATGCTCATACACAGACACATTCGTTGGCATGTGTCACATACCCTCACCCAGCATGGACTGTCTGCCACAGACACATTGGGCACCCAGCAAAGAAGACAGCATTTGACAAGACCTTCTGAGCCAGGGGACCCTGTACACTTCTGAAAATAATAATAGTTGGGGCAGTTTGAAAGCATGGCTCCAAAATTCTGTTTCCTTCCTTGAGATCAAAGTGGGCTTGTGACAGCTTCAACCAGTGCACAGAGTAGCACTGTGTGACTTCTGAGGCTGAGTCAGGGGGACACTGGCACCTGGAGCCCCACACCTCTAGGAAGTCCCACTACCCTGAGGCCGCCATGCTGTGAGGAAGTCCCAGGTGCAGAGAGAGGCCACGTGGGCATGCCTTAGTGGGTGGTCCACGCCTTTGAGTCACCCCAGCACTGGCTCCAGAAGGAGCCGTCCGATGATTCCAGCTCCCAGTGTCAAATCTTTCCGGCTGAGGTCCAGGATCATGGAGAGCAAGCATGTCAAACTCGCAGCCCGCCAGCCACATGCCTCATTTATTTGGCCCGTGTTAGCCTTTGAGTTTGACATGCTTGATGTAGAGCAGAGACAAGCCATCTCTACTGTTCCCAGGCTGGATTTATGACCCACACATTCCATGAGTATAATTAAATGGTTGTTTTAAGGTCCAAAGTTTTGGAGTAAATTGTTATGCAGCAATAGTAACCAGGACAATAGCTTTAACTAAGGGGCAATGATTATATACTTTGATTTCAGCACTTTACATATATTAGCTCACTGTTAACCCTTACAACTACCTAATGAAAATGGAATTATTACAATTACCCCATTTTATGAAAGATGTAACTGAGGCAAAGGGAGGTGAAGTAACTTGATTGCATAATAAACAAACAAATAAGATAAATAGAGCTCAAAGACAATCACTAGTATATAGCTGAGCTGGGAGTCAAGCCCAGTCATGGGGAAAGCAGGTACTTACCCATCATGCTCCGCTACCTTTCTGGCATGGAAAGATCCCCAGGAGGCCTCTTGGCCATTGCCAAGTGACAGCTCCTCCTTCGTCTGTGGGTGTCTGGAATTGTCACCAGGAGACCTGGTACAGCAAGTGCTCCACTCCTGTGAGATACCGTATAGAAGTTATCCGGTGGAATGGAGCACGGAGTTCTCTGTGATCTCTGTGGCTGCCATTAAGTCATGCAGATGTTTGCACACTTGCTGTCATGTTCTCTCTCTCCTAGAGCAAGAGAATCCCTCTTTATTTGTTTTCCCAGATGAGAAAGGAAAAGTTCTAATCAAGCATTTTGGTAGCATCTTCACAAATGACTCCCCTTGAGGGTGCACAGGGCCTAGTGATTCATTTCTAACTAATAGAATACAGCAAAAGTGGTTACGTCATCTCAGAGATTAGGTTATGAATGGCAGTGACTTCATCTTGCTCATCCTTTCCTGAGCTCTCACTCATTTACTCTAATGAAGCCACCTGCTATGTCATGAGAGGCCCACGTGGCAATAGGTAAGGGGGGCCTGTAGGCAATAGGCAACAACGAACGAAGGCCCATGAAGATATAAACCCCACCACCAATCAAATAGTCATACAAACAAACAAACAAGACCGTCTGTGACAAAGCAAAAGAGAAGAGGTTCATGGGGACACCAGAACTTATGAAAGTTGGATTTTTCCCTCTTGTGAGAAGTCAGGAGGGCTTCCCTGGGGAAGTGACATTTGAGCTAAGAATGAAAAGATATGTAGATGGGTCTAGGTAACAAAGGGAGGGGAGAGCAGTGGGAAGTTGCAGGTGCAAAGGTTTGGTGGCAAGAGGGAGCCTGGAAAGAATGAAAGACTGAGAGAAGGCAATTGTGTTTGAAGATCGAGGACAAAGGGGAATTTGGTGGGAGTTACGTCTGGAAGATGGACATTGTGTTCCCATGCAGGACCTTGTGCTTGTGGGTCTTTATCCCAAGCACAGTGGGAGCCATTGGAAGGCTTTAAGCTAGGTTTCCTGCCATAGAAGCCAGAACCAGTCTGACCATAGCAAGCCTGGGATGTAAATATGTTTGCACAGTGGATTTTTCAAAGGCGGGGCTCAGACCGATTTGGTAACCATAGAAACAGAAGGCTTATGTGGACACTAACAATTATGATAATGAAACCACACACTTGGGAAACTGAGCGTTATTAATCGAGTTAGTTCTGGGTGAGCTCTGAGTAGTCTTGCCTGATGAAGGGTGCTGGAAACCACAGTATACCATCACAAAGGGTCTGATGTTTGAAAAGGTGACCCGCCCTGTGATGAATGAAATTGTGGAGCTGAGAGTTGGCGGCACAGCAACCCTGGAACCAAAGGGCCTTTCTTCAGTGTTTCAGAGTCCCAGTGATAGGCAAAAAGGAAGATGAACATATGAAGAGTGTATGCCATCCACCAGGCACCCACACAGGCAACATCTTATTTAATTTTAATAAGCAATTGCCAAAATAAAACTGATTATCTTCGTACTGAAGGTGACAAAGCTGAAACTCAGAGAAATGATGTTGTTTTGCTGCATTACACGTGGTGCCAGGAACCTGTGTTTGCTTTCCAGGCTGTAACGCCCAACTCCGGAAAAGACCGGAGATTCTGGCAGCAGTTTTCCGGAAAGTGCCGAAGAGCTGGGAGGCGGGGCCACAAGAGTCTTTTCGGGGCTTCCGTAAGAGCCGAAAGGTCGGGAGGCGGGGCGTGAGTGTCGGAATCCGATTGGCCAAAGAGAGCCGAGGACCTTCGGAGCGAGCCGAACGTCTCCGACAGCCTCCGGGCAGAGCCGAGGGGCGCCGAGGCGCAGCAATGGCGGCGGCCGGAGCTGTGGCGGCGGAGAAAAGCGAGGAACCGGCGCCGGAGGCCGATGCGCTGGCCACCGATGCGCTGGCCGCGGCCCGGGAGCGGTGCAGCCGCTTCTTGAGCGGCCTGGAGCTGATGAAGCAGGGCGCCGAGGCGCGCGTGTTCCGCGGCCGTTTCCAGGGCCGCGCGGCCGTGGTGAAGCACCGCTTCCCCAAGGGCTACCGGCACCCGGCGCTGGAGGCGCGGCTCAGCCGGCGGCGGACGGTGCAGGAGGCCCGGGCGCTGCTCCGCTGCCGCCGTGCAGGTGAGACGGCACGGCTCGGGCTGAGGCGGTGCGGGTGCCGGTGCCGGTGCAGGACTCCCTTTCGCCCCCTGCGGTCTGCGTGGCTTTGAGTGCGTCCTCTGTCCCTGCCTCTTCATTCATTAATGCTTAGGCAGCCGCTGGGCCTTGCAGGTGCGAGCATTGGTCCGGGAGCCTGGTCAGTACCAGGCTCTGCCACGGTGGCTCCTGTAGAGCGCGTTATTTAACCATGCTCAGTCTCGGTTGCCCCTTTTGTGCCCTTTCAGTATTTGATCATTATCTATGCACTAGTGGCCTGGTGCACGAAATTCGGGGGGTGGGGGGGGGAGTCAGGAAGATGGCCGGTCGACCTGGTCTAATTAGCATAGTACCCTTTTATTAGTATAGATTATGTAGTACAGGATTGCTTAAATGGTGGGGAAAAGCCTTTTCCAGCAGGAGAAGATGCTCTTGGCAGACAAATATACATAATCCCTATATCTGGACTGATAGCCAGCCATATGCACTATGCTGCCAAACCGGTCATTAAAATATTGAACCCCTTTCTTACACTTTATACCAAGTAGCTGTTGCCCTTAAAACCCCTCCTCAAGCCCCACCTTAGGCTCTGCCTTCGCAGTTCACCCAGATTAGGTTCTGATTGGTTGGTTTCTATGCCATCAGCATCAAAAGCTCCGCCTCCTAGGCAGCCATTGGCTCCTCGCAGTTCACCCAGATTTGGTTCTGATTGGTTGGTTTCTATGCCAGTCAGCGTCAAAAGCTCTGCCTCCTAGGCAGCCATTGGCTCCTCGCAGTTCACTCAGACTTGGTTCTGATTGGTCAGTTATGCCAGTCAGTGTCAAAAGCTCCGCCTCCTAGGCAGCCATCTTGTGAGAGCGTGAGGGTTAATTTGCATATTACCTCTTTATTATATAGGATTACTTTTAAGAAGCAGATGCAAGTATGAGTACTTGCGCTGGAGTCAGACTCTCTGGGTTTAAATACCGACACCACTGTAGCCTTTGAACAGGTTTTGTAACCTCTCAACCTGTTTCCTCACCCATAAAGAGAAATCCCAGTTGCAGTATTAATCTCATAGGGCTTTTGGGACCATTCAATGAGGTATGTATGCCATGTATTACATTTGAATGTATGACTGGCATGTAGTGCTTAATGAAGTTAGATTTCATTAAATCACTTTTTTTCCCCATTAAAACACCATTGTGCACCATCACCGTAAACTTGTTCTCAGGTGAGAAACGGTCTCAGAGAGGGGAAGCAACTTGCCCAAAGTTACTCAGTTAGGGACCCAGCCAAGCGCTCAGCTCGTATTCCTCTGCCTCAGAAAAACGCGCTTTTCACTTTCATACTTCCCGCCTTTCTTTCTGACATTGGTATTTTTTTAGGCACCTGTGCACCCGGACATTGTCAGGTGCTGGGAGATCTGGAGGAAATGCAGTAGTGAACAAGCAGGCGGATCTCTGACCTGCTCGGGTTTAAGGAAGTTATCTGTGTGTTTATATTTTCTTTTGCATCCTCTCTAGGATATAAGGTTCATTAAGCAGGGATCGTGGCTGCCCTATTTCCTGCTGTATCTCCCCTATACCCCCCAAAATGTTCCCAGTATCCTGAGCATGATTGACATTTAGTAAAGATTCATTACATCTTTGCAAGTCTTGTTCTCATGTTATAGAAGCAGTAAGGGAGGTGGAGAGAAGTTGATGTGACTTTTAGGTTATACAAGTGGCAACCAAGCGTAAATGAATCAGGAGACCTTGTTAAAGTTGAAAATGACAAAGTTTTATTCAAGGGTCTTAGAATTTGCAAATTGGAAACATTACAGGGTAACACCCAGAGCGTTCCGAAGAAAAAAGTTGGGAGTTCTTATAGTAAAAAGTACATTCTTGAGAAGACTCAGCCCTGTATTCCTAGCCTCTGGATTGGTCTGAGATGCGAATCCTCTAGATTAGTGATGGTCTGCACAATGAATATCAGTTCTTCAGGGAGTTATAGTATTTATATATCCTCCAGTTCAAAAGTTCAAGTTCTCCGGCTAGTTAAAATGAAGTAAAATCTTTTCCTTGGGCTTCCTCCCATTTGTCTGAACCAATTTGGTCAGCCTGACCATACAGACTCCCTTTTAAGTCAGCTTAGCTGTACTGGTTTCATCTTGTTTTCTTCACCCATTGCTCACAACTAACAAGGAAGGGAGCTGGGAGTTGAATTCGTCCTTCTGACTTTGAAGATGAATCTGGAAGCCAGTACACTGCTTGGCCTCCTGTTTGGGTCCTTGTCAGGTAGATAGTGCTTTTCCTGGGCTACACTTACCCTTCTGGCTTTGTTTGTTTGTTTTTTAGGAAATAAGTATGAATGAAGTCCAGTCGTAATGGGTGGAAAGTTGGAGGGAGCTTTGGCACTAAACTTAGCCATGAGGTCGTTTAGGGAGCAGTTATAAAGAGCATGAGCAGGGGAAACTTTCAGATGAGTTCCAATGTACCATTCTGCAGTGTTTTTAAGTCTTTTTCCTGAAATAAGCAGATAGGAAATGTAAAAAACTGCATCAATCTTTGAAAGTTAAGCTTACCATTAAAAAAAAAAAAGTCTAATTCACACGGGTTATGTCTTGATTGCAGGGATATCTGCCCCAGTTGTCTTCTTTGTGGATTATGCTTCCAACTGCTTATTCATGGAAGAAATTGAGGGCTCTGTGACTGTTCGAGATTATATTCAATCCACTATGGAGACTGGAAAAACTCCCGAAAGTCTCCTTGGCTTAGCCAAGACTGTGGGGCAGGTTTTGGCTCGCATGCACGATGAGGACCTCATTCATGGTGATCTCACCACCTCGAACATGCTCCTGAAGCCCCCCCTGGAGCAGCTGAACATTGTGCTCATCGACTTTGGGCTGAGTTTCATTTCAGCACTTCCGGAGGATAAGGGGGTTGACCTCTACGTGCTGGAGAAAGCCTTCCTCAGCACCCATCCCAACACCGAGAGTGTGTTTGACGCCTTTCTGAAGAGCTACTCCGCCTCCTCCAAAAAGGCCAAGCCGGTGCTCAAAAAATTAGATGAAGTGCGCCTGAGAGGAAGAAAGAGGTCCATGGTCGGGTAGAAGGATGCGTGTGACAACCACGGACAGTTAAGCTATTTACCTCACAGTGAATTTGACTTGCTAAGACTGTGGATTACACCTAAAAAAAGTATTGGGATATTTTTAAGTGCTGTCTGCGTTCATGCTTGTTAAGTGTCATTATCACCTGCACTGAACTGTTCTCAGGAGCTTACCATGTACATAAGCCATGTTCTAGACCAGGGGTGGGCAACATCTGGCCTGTGGGCCATGTAAGACCTGCAAAATCATTTTATCTGGCCCTGCCCATGTTTGACCAAATATAGCGGGCTAATCTTTAAGTTGATAATTTTGTATGACCTGCAAATGATGTTATAAATATTCAAATGGCCCATGGCAGAAAAAAGGTTCCCCACCCCTGTTCTAGACAGAACTGAGTACAAAATAAACCTAGGACAGGCTTCCTCCTCAGGAACATGGGCATGGCAATAAAAAACATTGAACCACATGATGAGAAGAGTGTCCTCTGTTCATTCCTGGGGAGACGAGAACAAAGTCTCGGTGACAGTGCATCTATACCGGCCTTTTAAACCAGTGTTGTTTGTTGTGTTCGTGACATTCCTCTTGAAATCAGTGTAGTGGGATACAAGCAGCATTTTAAAAATAAAGTAGAATCAGACACTAGGAAATACTGTTACATGTGCATTACATGGAGTATTGTCAATACTGTTTTATAAGACTTGTTTATATATGTGTATATAGACGAGTATGTACTGGGTTTTGATGTAAAATATATTTTGAGGCTTATGGTGAAAAAGATGAAAAATACTGCTTAACTCCAATTTCCCTTTAAAAAGCTTTTATACAACATTGTTTTTATATTTGTTGCTCTGTGACTTTATGGTTATCTTCTAGTTAAGACAATGATTGATATAAAGTCCTTTTAGTTTATATAGATAAAAAAGTGAATCACTTTGTCTCACAGACAGTAAGTAGATAGAGTAAAAATGGTGACGTGGCTTGGCTATGACTGAAGTGTGATGAAGCCTGGTTTACAGGAAGGTAGAAGAAACCTGAAATAAGATGCAAAGTGCCACTAATAGCTCACGCTTACCCTTGCCCAGCCTCAGTTTCTTGCCCCAACGAAGGTGTGTGTGGAAGGTATAGTAAAATACTTTTGTCAGCCCCAACTAGCAAGTGAATGTTTTGTGTGCCTGGCACTGTAGTAGGTACTGGGTACAGCAATGAACAAAATGGACACGACACCTGCTCTCCTGGAGGGAACATTCGGGTGGGCCCGAGACGTGTCTGTTTCCATCACCACAGCTAGCACTTCCATGTGGCAGATGCCCAGGAATGAAAGAAAGCAGCCCTTCCCGGGCAGTGGTGACACGTAGAACTAATCATCACCTGGTTACTGCATGTTAGGCATTGTGCCAGGATCTAAAACAACTACGTTAGGTATTGTCCCCATTTTATAGATGGAGAAATGGGTTTAAATGGGGGGGAACTTATCCAAGGGGTCACAGCTAGGGGTACTTCACCTGCCTCCAAAGCCCATGTTCTTTCCACTGATCCTTTAAGAAATGAAATGCTGGCTATGACAGGTCTTAATCTGATAACTAGAGGCCTGGTAGATGAATTCGTGCACCAGTGGGGTCTCTCGACCTGGCCTGTGGGATCGGGCCGAAACTGGCTCTCTGACATCCCCCGGGAGGGATCCCGGATTGCAAGAGGGCACAGGCCAGACCGAGGGACCCCAACAATGCACCATTGGGGCCGGAGAGGGATGCAGGAGGTTGGCCAGCTGGGGAGGGACCACGGTAGGGCTCCAGGGTATGTCCGGCCTATCTTGCTCAGTCCCAATTGGCCAGACCCCAGCAGCAAGCTAACCTACTGGTCAGAGCATCTGCCCCTGGTGGTCAGTATATGTCATAGTGACTGGTCAACCGGTCAACTGCCCCCTGGTGGTCAGTGCATATCATAGCGAGCAGTTGAGCGGCCTTAGCATACTACACTTTGATTGGTTGAATGGACGACCGGACACTTAGCATATTAGGCTTTTATTATATAGGAGGATGTGTATTGGCAGTATATAACATTTTTAAACATCTCCAAAGGCTGGCTTTTTTTTTTTTAGTGAGTATGCAATAAGACAGAGGGCATGCCCTAACTGGTTTGCTCAGTGAATGGAGCATCAGCTTGTGGACTGTAAAGTCTAGGGTTCGATTCTGGTTGAGGGCATGTATCTTGTTTGCAGGCTCCATTCCCAGTGGGGGGCATGCAGGAGGCAGCTGATAGATGTTTCTCTCTCATTGATGTTTCTAACTATCTCTCTCCTTTCCTCTCTGTAAAAATCAATAAGATATATATATATTTTAAAAAGGACAGAGTGCTCATCCCCCAGGGTCCTCAAATGTACTATAAGGTTGATTAAGGCCAGTGTCTACCTGGTGGGAAGAATGAGTGAATTCCCACCTGAACGTGTGCAGACGGTAAGTCATACCCAGCACTCACTCTGTGCCTGGTTCTGGAGATAGGGAGCATGGAGGCTGTCCTTGCTCTCCTGGAAGCATAAACGAAGTGCCCATGACAGTTTCAGACAGCGACGCATGCTGTAAGGGTGCTGCAGTCCTGTGTGACCTCAAGGGGAGGAGGGAAGTGGTCAGGGAAAGCCTCTGATGAAGTGACATGGGAGCTAAGATGTGCAGGCAACCCTGAAGACCGGGAGTATGTTCCAGGCAGAAGGGCCTGCATGTACAAAACAGCAAGGCCAGTGGGGCTGGTTTGCAGCAAGCCAGGAGGAGAAACAGGAAATGAGGCTAGAGAGGTGGTTAGGGGTCTGTAGCAAGGTTGGGTTTTATTCTAAACTAGAGGCCTGCTGCATGAATTTGTGCATCAGTGGGGTCCCTTGGCCTGGCCTGCAGGATTGGGCTGAAACCGGCTCTCCGACATCCCTCGAGGGGTCCCGGATTGCGAGAGGGAGCAGGCCAGGCTGAGGGACCCCACCGGTGCAAGATCAGGGCCCGGGAGAGATGCGGGGGGTTGGCCAGCCGGGGAGGGACCACGGGAGGGCTCCAGGGCATGTCCGGCCCATCTCAGTCCCCATCAGCCAGACCCCAGCAACAAGCTAACCTAGTGGTCAGAGTGTCTACCCCCTAGTGGTCAGTGCATGTCATAGTGAGCGGTTGAGCGGCCTTAGCATATCATTAGCATATTACGCTTTGATTGGTTGAACAGTTGTCCAGACACTTAGCATATTAGGCTCTTATTATATGGGATGTGTCTCAGAGGGTTTTAAACAAGGAGACATGTTTTGAAAGCATTGCATTGGTAGAAAAAGGAATAGGAGCAAGAAATCAGCGAGAAGGCCACACAACCGGCTGGGCCAGTGATGTGGTAGCTGGGGTGGAGGTGTGGCCAAATGTGCTGTAAACCACTAGACAGCATTGGTGTGAGTGACATGGCAGCCAGCAGCGGTGGGGAAGGAAAACTGATCTCCCCTGCAGGCGCTGAGAGGGAGAGGGATACTGCAGACCACTGGCTTTTCTGTGTACTCGGCCTATGGGAAGTAAGAGGTTAACAAGCATTCCTCAGCGACCCTAGTTGTCTCACAAGCTCTGAGGCGTCCTCCTGCCATTCCAGCTCCCTCGGGGTCCATGGGAGTTGGCTGGTGCTTTGTAGTGATGAGCCAATGGCAGCTCTGTGTGAATTCCCACCTGAACCCTCTCAGACAGGAGTTATAACCCCCACTTTACAGATGGGAAAACACTCTTAGCAATGCAAAACATCATGTCCCAACATCACAGTCAGTGGCAGAGCTGGGTTTCAAACCTTGGAGGATAGCCCACATTTTAAACAACGGCAACCGTTTGTTGAGGAGTTTTAAGTTCTTTGCATGCATTAACCCATTTCACAGAGGAGGCAAGTGAGGCTCAGAGAAATTGAATCTTGCCCAAGGTCCCCCAACTAGTGAGTGGCACAGTCAGGGAAATGTGATGTGACCCTGAGATCTGTCCATCACTGAGAAGGGCATGGCCCACATGTGGAATATTTAAAAGAGCCTCGTGGGCAGTCCATGGGCCACAGGAAAGACTTAGCAAGCCTGGCATAGTGAGTGCCCTGTACAGGCGTGCTCTTGTTAGATTAGGTGACGTGCAGGCTGAGGGCTTTGGGAACACACACATTCATGAAGCATGTGGGGTATGATCTCACTGTAACTAAGAAAGTAAACCCTAATCCTGGTCCTGGTTCTAATAAAATTTTATTTACAAAAACAGGCAGCTGACTTGTGTGCCATCGCTTGCCAACTTCGTATTACATTAAAACATCTGTCTTGATTACCGAGTTTTTAGGCGCCCCCTTAGCTTGTGCCCTAGGAAGAGCCTCATTCGCCTGGTCCCTGTCCTCACCCGGCTGACCCTGACTGCTAGAACCCATGTTCTTACAAACCTCTTTTGGGGAACCAGGAATATCCTCTCAGGTCCTGAAGTTGGCACTGCAACTCCAAAGCACTGAATTCCCCTTTCCCCAGCCCAGAGGAGTGGCTCTCTTTTGCCACTAGAGGTCGCAAGTTACTCTCATTCCTGGAGCAAAGATGTAAAGGAATCTTCCCTCCCATTCCTCCTCCTCCACTTCCTCCTCCCCTCTCTCTTCCTCCATCCTGCCTCTCTCTGCCTTTCTCCCTCTCCTTCCTCCCTCTTCCCTCTTTTCTTCCCATCTCCCTCTCTTGAACTTGTTCATTTATTCACTCAACACTTTAGCTGAGCATCCATATGTGGTGGGCACCATGCTCATCGCTCAGAATGGAGTGAGCAAGACAGCTGTGGGATGCCTCCTTCCCTCCTGTCTTAATTTGTCACCCATCCCCTAACCTTCACTCATTCATCCACCATGTATTTATTGAGCACCTCAGCTGTGTCTGGCTCAGAAGGAACCATGGTAGTAAGAAAATCCAGCTACCACCGGGAGCCCCTCGCCTCTCCCCACACTGCCGCAATCAGTGGTTTCCCACTGCTGCCCTTGCTGCTGCACTGGCCCCTACAGTCTTCCTCATCAGCAGTGAGAGGCACCTTTCAGAGCCAGATGATGCCACCTCTCTACTGAGAAGTTTGATGGCTTCCCATCCCTTGTCTCCTTGCTTACCAGCGGCCTGGCTCGGGACCCCCTCACTGCGCCTCTCTGAGCCTCAGTGTCATCTGCAAAGTGGGCTCACAACGGTGCCTACCTCATGGAGCTGTTGGTCAGAGTCCCCAGGAAACAGACTCTGAGATGCAGTCGAGTGTATAGGAGATTTACTAAGGCATGGCCTTGGAGTCAACTTCCGCAGAAGGGAAAGGAAGGGAAGGAGATGGGGAGGGCAGAGGGAGAAGTGGGCTGAGAGGCAGCCTTCACCACAGCCTCAGCTGACCCCATGGGGAGCTTTTCAGCTACAATGGCCTGCGGAGCTGTCCCAAGTTGAGCCGAGATGACCGGGCCTTCATAACCCCACATCACCCAGTCGTTGGCTGGCCACCCCCGGGAGGGTATGAGCTTGTATATGAGGCCACTCTGCCCATGACTCCATCCCGGAAGCGCAATAACTGGAAGCTGCCTGCTGACCGCTCCTGCACCCGAGGCAATCGGTCCTTCCATGCCCACTGCAGGCATCAGTGACATAATGCATGTGGAGTATTGCACAGTGCCTGGCACTAGCTATTGCTGTTGTTGTTAGTATACAATTTATGTTGCTACTATTTTTAGAGACCAATACACAGGCAATTTTAATACAACACTATATGCTCAATATATAAGCCAAGGGTACTCAGGTGCACTTTTCCACATAGCCAGGCACCAACCCAGTGTATACTGAATCAAAGGGTCTGGGGCTGCTCTGAGAATGTGCATTTCCAACATGTTCCCAGGTGATGCTGAGTACCACTGCCCCAAGGAAAATCACTGCTTCAGGAAAACAGGAAATGGATGCAGAGGGGGCAGAAACAATAGCTATTCCCTATACCAGCCGTGGGCAAACTACAGCCCGCTTGAAATGAATAAAACTAAAAAAAAAAAAGACCGTACCCTTTTATGTAATGATGTTTACTTTGAATTTATATTAGTTCACACAAACACTCCATCCATGCTTTTGTTCCGGCCCTCCTGTCCAGTTTAAGAACCCATTGTGGCCCTCGAGTCAAAAAGTTTGCCCACCCCTGGTTTAGACCCATTTCACAGAAGAGGGAGCTGGAGCACAGAGGTTCTGAGCAACTTGCCCGGTCATCCTCCTGTAACTAGTAGAGATGGTGCCAGACAATGTCAAGAGCCTCAGGCGCCCCCATCCCTTTTGGACAGAGCCTCGGCTTGTGCAGGTATTTATTCGTGGACGATGGCTTTATCCTTTATCAGGGAATCTCAGGTTGATCCTTGACATAGGGGTGGGCGTGTGACCTTTATCTGGCCGATAGCACACAAGAGGGAATCTGTGCTTCTGGGGAAGATTTTGCTTCTCATAGAAGATGAAAGGGGGTGAGAACGCCTGGACTCCAACACCTGCCCATCAGCAATCGCTGCCTTTGAAGGCAGCGGTGATCATTGGAGGTTCAGCAGCCACCGTGAGACCATGAGGCCACTCCTGCAGGTAAAGCGTCAGCGAGAAGAGGACCATGGAGTAGAGCGATGGGCGGAGTGTGACTCTATTGGCATCAGACCTCAAGCCTGCCTTCCTTGATTTACCGCATAAGCGACCATCTTTAAAGCTGATGCTGCTTTTGTGCTAGGGGGAGGAAATGAAACATGAGAAACTTACTGAATGTGTTGGGGGGAGGGACTGTGGCCTGGAAAAAGTTACTGATTGTGTCAAGGGCAGGGACCATGGGAG